CCGGGGTGAGCCCCCCCCCGCCCCGGGAGGATGCGCTGCCCTTCGCCTTGCTGCATCGGGGGCAAAAACCCGGGCTTTTTCCGTCCGCCGCCGCCCCCCCTTTTGCCTTGAAGACGCACTTGGATTATTTTTTTCTTATTTACACTCGGCACATTGGCTGCGGTGGAGCGGGAAAGCCGCCCGCTCTCACCCCCCCCCCGTGCTGGCAGGGTTACATCAAACTATTGATCAACCTACCTGATGGTAAATCACTGATAAATCGTTCTCTAACGCATTAAAAACAAATTTCTGAGGATCTTAATGTGGGCAAGAAAATAGAATACTTCTCCAAAAGACAACCCCCCCCAAAATGACCCATTGTGAATAATACAGAGTTTATAGAGTAATAAGATAAGCAAACCTCATGCTTTGCTAAATTTAGGTTTGACAGGACAATCCTGGAAAGTAGCCTTTGGCGGCAGGTTATACTCTGGGCAAGATGTTAACTGTCAAGTACTGGGATCAAGCCTCGGGCATCTGAATTAGCTGTGAAAGTCATCAGACCTAGCGGGGAAAAAAACCTCCAAGAGAAGGATAAGGGTAAATGGACAATATTGTCAAAGGAACCTTAAACTTTTTACAGCACAAAGCTGACAGAATTTACATCTGCAAATCCATTTATGCTGTACTTAGAATTGAGGTTTTATAGGTTTGGAGAAGTGAGTCAATACCCTTCAAAAGTGTTTTAAAGAGAAATATATGGAGGAGGAATCAATTTAAATATGATAATTGTATAGCTTGGAGCACTGACAGCATTGAAGCTATTGGAGAATAGTGCCCTGTAGTCTCTCAAGTAGTGTTTTTGCATTTCAGACTGTGCCTTTAATGTTCTGTTACTTTTGTCTTGAGCAGATGGTATGATTTTGTCAACTGATTGCCTGATACGGTTTTCTATTAGTTCTGCAGATCTATGGGTTGGGTGGGAGCTAATAGGCCATGCTCCTATGAGTTTCCGTAGGAAATACTTTTCATGAGAAGTACCTTATACTTGTGAAAACCTTTGAAGCTCTGGGAAGTAAATATATTTTTTAAATGGTCTGCTGGAAGGTGCTGATTGACAGCCCTGGAGACAGAAAACCTCCAGGTGTCCATGCAGCAGTTCCAGAATGAACAGCAGCACTTTAAGCGTCTGTTCCTTGTACCCTGCCTGATCGTACCCTTGAATTGATTAGATCACTTTTTAGGTCCACAGCTGCTAATTCAGCTGTGTGGCCTAGACCATTAATGTGGTCGAGGCAGGCTGGAAGATAAGGGAGATATGATGTGTGGTATTGATGTTAGGCAAGAATGTATGCGTGAATGAATTGCAGTTCTATATGGAGCTGGTTGTGGTCTCATTCTGCCACATATACCATTTCTGAGATTCACGTGACCTTGGTCCACAGCTATGTACGATGCTCTCAGCACAGGGTATCACTGTAGCACAGCGGCTCCGCAGCATTACTTCTGAGGGGTGAATTTTACTCCTGTACCTTGATTTCTTGCCTTAATAGAGATGTACTTCCACGTTACCTAATCTGGATATCTCTTTGTAGCACATTGTAGTTTTTACAAGAAACTTATCTTTGGACTTCTCTAACGATAAAGTAAAATCTCTCTAGAGTCTCATTCCCCCAACTTTCAGAGTTGGAAACTCACACAAGCTTATGTTGAAAAGGAATTGATTATTCAAAGCTCTTGTGCTTCATAATCTACTTAAAACATGTAGATTGACTGTCTCATCAGAAAAGCTCTAAGTTTTATTTGCTATATAGCCCATTGGGTCATGTGTTTAAGGCCAGGAGACCTCTGGCTAGTTACTTACAGACTGTGTGCCCCTCCAATTACAGGTTATTAATTTGCCTTACATTCAAGAGACAGTTCCACATGAGTGAAAAGGAATACCATACTGCAGAGTTCTTCATTACCTACTCTGTCTGTACCACAGCAAAATAAGAATAATACTGATTTCTTCCTTCCTTTTTTTTTTTTCTCTTTTTTTTTTTTTCCCCTCTGGTCTGTGGAAGATGTTTTACAGTTTTAATGCAGCTGTTTTAAGTGTGACTGTTCCTGTTCAAGGGCAGCTGATGTACTTTGTAATGCCATTGAACAGCCAACAAGCTATGTTCCCCTATTGTGTTGAAGCGATAGGTATGTTTGCTAATCAAGAGGAGAGCAGAGCTTGCTGTCTGACTTGTTTATGTTTTATTTCTCACCATCAAGCTTTAGAGGGAGGCACAGAAAATATGTAAGCATCTATATTATTCAGTGATGTGTATATATATGTACATGAGTGCAGAATCAACCTGAAGTGCATTGCTGATATCTTCTACTCAGTCATCCCTGAAATTAGCAAGGTGTTGGGGTTACCACATATCCCCAGTATTACTCAAAATACCCCAAACCTGGCATGCCATTAGGTAAACTGTTAATTAATTGTCACTGTATCTTGATTTGTTTTTTCTTCTTGTGGTTGCTTCAGTTTTGTTCAAAAGTAGTGACCAAAGTACAGGATTTTGATCATCAGGATGCACAGAAGGCCGATGGGAAGTGATCAGATCGAGGAGATGCTGCCTGGTTCCCACCACAATTGCTTTTTAATTTTCTTGTAGGCTGTAGTGTTTCTGCTCCCCATATGCAGGATTGGAGCAATTTGACCCCCAGAACTGGAGAATCTCCTACAATCTGCTGGAAGCTCAACAGCACAGTATACCCACTTGTTTCTCTGTGCCATTCCTGGGGCTTTCAGCCTCTGCCCTTATTCCCTGTTCATCTCACACAGACGTCAGCTCCAGCAGAACCCTACCTTAGTGCAGTTTTACTCTTGGATTTGTAGGTTTCAGTCAAATCCCTTGCAAAACTGTCTAAGCATTCTGAAAATGTTTCAAAAAAACCCATGTATTTTGGCATCTTTGTACATCCATGTTAATGATTCCAGTAGGAATCATGATAAAATAACACGCATCAAGACAGAGAGTTTAGTGCTGCAGCCAAAAATTCAGGACTACCAGGAAAATTCCACTGATCTTTGTATGGAATATATTTTGGGCAAAGAGAAGGTGGGATTTTTTTTTTCTTTCTTCTTACCAGGGTGTCTTGGTTTTGTATTAGTTCTTGTAACCTGGAGGGTAGGGAAGAACTGCCCTGCAAAGAGCACTGAAATTCTCCTGTTATCCCCTCTATCCCTGCCTGCAGCTCAGGTCTGAGATAGATAAGTATCATCTGTCTAATAACATTTCTGCCTGCTGCTGCACTGTTGTATAGTTAATTTTATGGATCCCATTTTTAACAGAATGCTTAGTTTTGCATTGTCATTTTGCTCTCTGACAATGTGTCTAGTTTTATTCCATTCCTTTTTTCTTTTAGCAGATGGAGAATATTACTTGGTTTTTTATAATGTGAAGTGGGTATCCTCAATTAATACACTAATCTGTTTTCTAATTAATTCCCTGTGGTTTTCCTCCCTTTTTGCTGGTACATTGAATCCTGAGTGCAAGTCTGTAAACTCAGTAATTTGATTACTTAAAGGAGAAGTAATGAATTTCATGATAGATGTGTAAGTCTTTAGGAAATGTTAAATTTCAGGAAGCAAATAGATTCTGTTATTGTGGTTTAAAACCTGCTTGTACCCAGGGTATAAATGCACACTGATAATAATATACTCTACTAAAATACAGATGCATTCCTGTCAGCCAGTCCTAAAGCGAATTGCATTGTTAGAAATCTGACACATATTCTCTCCTACAAACACTTGTTGTTGTATTTTTGTATGCAGATGCAGAGTATCAAAACATCAACATTCCATGATGTGGATTTATGTAGCATTTTTTATTGCTTGTTTCCAGTAGAGGCAACAGTGTATTAGACATACTGTACAAATAAAGAGACGGGACTCTCACTGCTTCTTGAAAATTGTTTTGGCTGCTTTTTTGGGAAGTGGCTTGAGATGATTTTGCTGACCTTTCTTTTTGGTCATTTGACTCTAAACCCGACACATTGCAAGAGTCCTCGCAGAATTTTTAGTCACTCTTATAGAACCTAACAATTTAATCAATTTAATTTTTCTGTAAAAAGGAAAAGAAAAATAAAACAAACAAAAAAAACCCAAAAAACCCAAGACATGTAAGTTTACATATCCAATTGAAATATTTTACTTTATGAAGGCTGTAGTGAAAGTATGGAGGATACCTCCTTACCACTGTATTCCATTAAATAGAATTTTAAAAGCTGCATAGTAATTATAATCCCAGTCAGCACCTTGCTGATGTTCTCTCTTGCCTTAAAGAAAAATAATAATAAAGGAAAGAGAACTTCTATCTTTAAAATTAGGGAGTCATCAATGCAGTAATTACAGTAGTTGAAATACATTTTGGAAATTTATTTTCAGTTATAAAAGCTTCAAGCCGTTGGGCAAATTGGAGAAATATTGCATCTAACCTGCTGTGGCAGAACCATTATCATCTGCTATGTTAAATACAGAATGCCACAGAAATTTCTTTCCTGTTTTAGGATTTCTTTTACACAACTCAGATCATTATTTTTGCATTTTGATAAGATTATGTCACACGCTTCATTGTGACGTCAGCCCAGTGTGGCTGAGAGAAAAAGTACACTGCAAAATTATGTAGGCATCAGTTTTACCAAGTCCTTTGCTTTAGTCGTACAGCTCCGTATGAGTTTGGGGGTTTCATGATAGCACAGTAAATATGCAAAGTCAACAGTGATTCCTCTCTCCAAAATCTATCGATCATAAACAGGAATAATTCTGTGTGGTTTAGTTCCTGTAGCAGTCTGACCAGAGAAAGTAGTTTGTACCCTCCTTAATTGCAGACTCAGCATACAAAATAAATGTCATCTTTTTAATCCTTTGCAGTTCCAGACAACCTTGTTATGAAGATCCTGGCAGGACGCCTAAATGCACTAGACTGCATGACCAATGGTTGGGTGCTTTATGGCTTCCCAAGAGACATAGAGCAGGGAGAACAGCTGCAAAAATCACATATTATTCCAAACAGGTAAGATATAAATTTAGCAATCACGACATTACATACATGAAAAAATTGTTTATGGAAAGATGCAGGTGTTTATTGACACTGTATAGGCTGTTGCATCTTATTTATTTATTCCTTCCTTAGCTAGAAAAGAGGTCTTGCTCCTGGAGAGTAGGAAATAGAGCATTGGCCTTACAAATCCTCCAGATGGCCAGACTGTGGGAGAGAGAAGAGGTTTGTTCTTCTGGTTATTTGTTTGAGTTGCCTCTAAAGGCAAACCATAAGAAATGGATTAAAGTTTGGATTATATCAGAAGGTGTATTTTATTTGCAGCAGGAGGGGGGATCTACATCTTCTTTCTTTCGCATTGGTGTAATATCATGGAAATATATTAGTATTGCGAGGAGCTCATTATGAGACTTTTGGGTTTTGTGAAATAATTAAAAACAACATGAGAATTATATTTTATTTGAGCTATAATGAAGTGTTCAGAAATGTAATATAAGAGAAATGAGCATCAAAAGAGAACTGTTATGACTACCAGGCAAATAAAATGGAGTTACTCTTTGCAGCTGGTCCAAGGGTGGTAAGGATTTGAAATGCTGGTGTACTCGTCAAAGCTGAGAGGCTTCTCCGTTCCCCTCCATGGGTTCCTGGTTCAGTCCATACCACTGGTGGACACAGGGGCCACTCCAAAGGCATACGTTGGAAATTTGTAGTCTGTATACTTCCAGGAATCTTATTCTTATCTAGAAAGTAGTAGTGGAAATATATTACCCACTTAAGTGTTTAAGTTGGCAATGTTACTCCTCCTCTGTCTTCTGTGTGGCTGCCCTCGCTTCTCCCCCCCGCCCAGTACAGGGTACAGCGGAAAGATGTAAAAGGGTAAGATGGAATCGGCGAACTGGGGAGAGAAGAGAGGAGAGTAAAAAGGGAGGGAGCTAGCAGTCATGCCATCAAGGTTTAAAAATTAACATATGTGAAAACAAGAGTAACTTCATTTATTAAAAGTAAGACAAAATACATCTTAAACAGGAATTCATTTAATGAAAAAAGGGAGAAAGAATCTTGAAACATGCTAGATTCAGGTAAATAACAGTTCCCATGGATTATTCTTGATGTGCATTTAGAAGGTAGGTCCTGAGTCCCTAAACACGTATCCGAGTACCTGAGATCAGTGTGAATACTCAAGTGTGTGCCATGTGCTTCTTTACAGGATCAAGACCTCATCAAGTGAGGAACAACTCATTATAAAATTGTGTGGGTGGGAATTTGGCACTGATCCATTTGCTCAGCTTCCATTTTCTTTAAAGAGCTCTGCAGATTCATATCCGAGTTAAGAATTTGGCCCCTACTATTTTATATGGGGGTTGAAGTAAGGGACAAAAGCAGACATCATGCTACCTGATTGATTTTGGAGCTGATATTTTCCAGGAAACTGTAGTGGTAGGTATATAAGGGAGAGAGGGTGATTATAAACAAAAGGACATATTGCAGCATAGGATAGCAGGGCAGTAATTCAGTTTCTGTTGTGATGCTAGTTATAAAACACTATCTGCAGAGGTGGTGTTTCTGACATCAGGAGAAAAACCTGATAGAATTATAGCCTTAAAATCAATCTGGGAATAGGATGCAGAAATCTATAAATCAGACACAAAACAATCTACAAAGTCTCATTTTTAGGAGGGCTCTGTTGATGAAATTAGATTAAAATAAATTTACATATATATCAAGTTTATTATTAAAATCTAGTCACATCAGTAAGCAAAATTATTTGTGAAAGAGTATGTTACTCTCTGGTTTGAACTTGAAGTAGACCTCTTTGGCTGATCAGAACACAGAGTTATTGTCTGCTTGTCAAGTCATAAATCTATTCCTTAGAGCTAATAAATGGTTAGTGTTCAAATACTATGTTTTATCTGACTCCCACCTCATAAAGCTGGTACACATAATACTAAATTATACAGCATTGAGCAGGATCAGTCTCCTGACTCCTCCATCTTATGGAAAGAAAAACAAACCTAGTAATTGATGGTAGAAAAGAAGGAAAATAAAGTTATTTGAAAACAAACAAAATGGGCTATAAAGTTTGTTAAAACGTAATAATAAAAAAATCTCATACAGCATCAGCCACTGCATCCAAAGAACTGCCCTGCAACAAAAAGGAAAATAATTCATTTTCCACTGAAAAAGTAAGGTACAGGGTTTTCTTTAAATTAGAATTTGCAGTAGGCAAAGGCTTGCTTGCAGGCTGGTACGGGAAAACCTGCCTGTATCAGACAAAACCTGTCTACCAAAGAACTGCTCTTTCTGTACTCAGAGAAGACATGTATTGCTTTCTGTGTTCCTCCTTATGAAGCAGTTACTGCTTAAGTGGACAGGATCCTAATCGTATTGAACTGTGGCAGCCTTTAGGGCAAATAAGAAGCTGAATCTATTAGTGGTCTCTCAGCTATCTAGTAAAAGAACACCATTAACCACTTAGTGCCTACGGTAAGTGGGAATCCAAACACAATTACAGGTTGGTGTCTGAAGCTCAGAACTACTAAGGCAAAGGACTGAATTCAGTCCCTCATCCAAATAAGTGTAAATAGGTATTTTAGCTTTTTTAATTGTTAATGCTTGAGCAACAATAGAAAATATATAGCATAGTCATGGATAGTTTTAATATACAGAAAGCTCTATTTAATAGCTAGCAAAATTTTTCTTATCTCCTTCTGCCCTCTCCCAAACTTACAGTTAAAATAAGATTCAGCAGCAACAGTGTCATCTGTTATATATCTCTTGTCATTAGCTTCAGCTGGTTCATGACCAGCTGTCTGCTGGTTCCAGGCCAGCTTAAGGCAATCAGCAGTTTAAGGATTCCCTGAGCCAGAGGGTCATCTGGACAACTGTCTAACAGCCCATTTTCCTTGACTTTATAGTCTCTTTTTCAACACACTGTACTTCTGGCCTCCACCAAATCGTATGGAAAAGAGTTTTACTTTTTCACCAGACATCATCTGAAAATACTTCACAGTGTTTTTTCTGGGCTCCTTTCTTCTATGGAAACACAGTTAGAAGCCTTCTCTGTTCACGCTCTCCTAACATGCCTGATTTTATAAGCCTCTTATATATGCCTGTTCTGTCGTCTCTTCCCCAGGCAAAGAACCTTGGTCTGGTTATCCTTTCGTTTCCCAAAAGTCATTTCACTCTTCTGCTCAACCTGTCCCCCTGTTCTCTACCTTCTCTAGTTATTCTAGCTGTTTCTTTTCTAAGGTGGGACGACCAGAACTGCGTTCAGTTTTGAGGCTAGCACTGTGCGTTGGATGTTCATCTATTACCATAAACATTTGTCTTTGTTTTGATCTTAACTCCATTACTCATAATTGCTGATATTCTGTTAGATGTTATTGTGCTAGATTTCGGAAGAATGTCCTGTATGTGTCAGCTATGGTAACTGTACAGTGTGTCTTTCATTGAAAATATACTGAAAAATCACTAAGTGCCACAAATCTCAATTGAGTGTGTGCAAGCTCAGCACAGAGCCTAAAGACCCTTTAACTCAAGGTCTCTAGTCAAAATTGTAACCAGGTTTGTGTTAGAGTTCTCCTCAAGCTGATAAAGCAAGCCCTTCCATCTGTGCCAACGGGCTGTGCTGCTAAGTGTGTCCTGGGATTCCTAGATCCTCTGTTCCATCATTTCCTTTGTTTTTTTCCATCTGATCTGAATCCAGGGTCGATTGTTTCACATTTCAGTATTGACTAATTATATTACAGCAGTATCTACAAATGATACAAGTGGAAAGACAAAGCTGGGATGGGGAGGGATGAACTTGAGAATTGACCTGACAATACATATATAATATATTTCAAATACCCATTTTTCCAATATATTAAAGTTTTTTTCTTTTCCAGTAGAGAAAATAAACGGCACTAGCTTCTCCAGTGCAAGTTTTTCAGCAGTGTTTTATTTGGCCTTCAAAATGATTTGGTTGTATCCCCAATTATGTCATCTTTTTACGTAATATATTTAAAGCTTCTTTTTCATCACACTGCTAAGGACCTGTATTCAAACAATTTAGGATAATGAAGTTCCTAATTTCTAAGGTAGAATCTGTGAATATGATGAAAAGGGAAAAATCAGAATGGAAATAAAGATTTTCTAATTTTTTTTTAACTATTTGGTCTTTACACGGGGCTTTCATATTTCTGCAGCTGATCCCAATGTGGATTAGAGTTAATAAACAGCCTATTAATGGAGGCCTGAACTAGGAAATGGAGTTTGAATCAGCAGCAAAATTCAATGGCTGGCGAAGGTTAATAACTCCATTACTATCAGCTCTATTTTTTAGCCGTTTGAAGAGCTAGGTGTTAGCCTTATCTTACTCCTCATTAATTGAGCTAATAGAACCCCAGTGACCCTACCATGCTGCCATTATCTGAGAGTTTACCAGACATGGACTGGAATACTTATCACTGAATACGTATTCCTCAGATTCATTTTTATATCAGAAATATTTTTGTTAAAGATTGTCTGTCTTCAGGTTTCTTTTTGTCTTTTCATTTGCTTGCTGCCTTCTGTAACAGCTACATATTTGGAAATTAAATGTAAATGACTTAATTAAAATCCTATCAAGGAACAAGCGAAGTCCCAAAATAGTTGCATCAAGGAAACATAATAGTGATTGAATTATTCTGACATGAAAAAATCTTACAGGGCATTTTTAAAACTTTGGCCTAATTTAAATGATGGATATTGTGTGTTTATAATAGATGTGTTTTTAATTGATGGCATACAAAAATCTGATGAGTAACAAAGAAGAAATGTTATAATTATATCTACTTATTTTCTCCTCATTTTCAGGGGAAAAAAAACCCAGAAAAACGATGTGGTAATCAAGGTACTAAGTCAGTACAATAAAATGTGCCTGGACCAGGGAGAGAGAGAAACAGTAGGAAAAGTCCAAGTGACCTATGTAGGATTTGGCTTAATTTATAAAGTAGTAAAAATAATAGGCAGACCAATTCACTGTTTCAATCATT